AGCGTGCACACGCCGCCGGGTGATGGCGTGAGTGATAGCATCTGCCGTGGGCAGGGCCGGTCCGGGCACTGGGATGTGCATTCGAGGAGGAAGGAGCTCGGACCCTGAAATCTGAAGAAGCCGCACCCTGGAAAGTCTGGCCCTTTGTACCCATAAGCGTCTCTAGACGCCAGCGGCGGACCTGCCCCACGCACAAACCTCGCATGTTAACGCTGGTCGCCCAGTGTTAAAGTCAGACTTGCTGGTGACACCTCCGGGTTTGTAAAGAAGATGGTGGTAACTTAAATTCGCAAATATTCCAGCGCACGTGGAAGAAACTCCAGTATCATGGTTTCCGTCTAGACGCGCGGCCGTTAACTGGCTAGACATCCCCCAGACCCCCCACAATGACGGTTACAGACCTGATCTTGGGCCACATTCCTTTGGTTGCACGGATGGGAAACTCATTCGTGTCGTTCGAATAAAATCGCTGCTCAGAGAGATGCCTGGAACCAGGACGATCTGAACACCACACCCGACAAAGGGCTGCACCTGCTCATCGTCTTCTGACAAGATGTTTGTTTTGCTGTCTGTGCAGCTCTCGGCATCTGCTCCTCCTGCCACTTCCCTCCCCTCCCTTTGCCTCCCTTCACCTCCCTCCCCTCCCTCCTCCTCCCTTCACCTCCCTCCCAGTGTCTGGGTTCTCCACGCCCGCCTCCTTGGAGAGCTTCTGAATGGCTGTTCTCTCTGTGCACTTCTCGCCTCGGTAGCTTGTTCCCCAGATAGAACATTCCAGAGGGGCCCCCAGCCCAGTGAGCAGGTGGTGGGCGGGCGGCGATGGCTGCAGGAGCAGCTCACCGCAGGCTCAGGCGCGCTGGCGTCCCGGAGGGAAGAGACCAGGCAGGCAGTCAGCCTGGAGCAGGGACACACGCTGGAAGGAAGCCTGGGCAGATGAGGATGAGCTGGGGAGAGGCACAGGCCCCGGCTGCCTGGGGACACGGGGCGGGAGGGGCGGCCGCAGCCAGGCTGGTGCTCCTCCAGGGAGAAGCGATGAAGCCCAGAGCCCAGTGGAGAAGAGGCGGCACGGCTGGCGGCTGCTGGGCACCCTCGGGCACCCCGGAGGCAGCGGCGGCATGAGATCCCTCTGGGCCCGGCTTTGGAGCCTCCGTGGCCTTCGTCTGCGGGAATATCTGAGGCTCAGGGAGGTTCCTCCTAAAAGCGAGGCTACAGCCCTGGCGCCACTGACCTCAGAGGGTGGCCGTGGGGGTGATGCGCCTGGAGCCGTCCGGACCTGGGCCCGGGCTGACCTTCCCGGGCAGCGCTGACCTCGGTCTGGCTTGTCGCAGGGTCTCCACTGAGCTTCGCTACCGAAAGCAGCCCTGGGGGCTGGTGAAGACCTTCATCGAGAAGAACTTCTGGAGCGGCCTGGAGGACTACTTCCGCCACCTGGGTGAGCGGCCCCGGGGACCCGAGCGGCTGGCACGTTCAGGGAAGGAAACGTGGAGAATGGGAGCTGCGGGGACAGTGGAGGGTCACGGGCCCTAAGCCTGCCCGGAAGCGCACACAGGTGTGGCTCGGGTGTGAGCACGTGCCCGTTCCAGAGCCCACCTGCTCTGGGCCGTGTCCCGGGACCTGTGACCCCGCTGGGAGCCCGAGGTCCGTCGCAGGGATGAGTGTGGTCGCGGGAAACGCTGTGGAGGCACCGTAGGGAAGCGCGATGCCCTCAGCGGTGCACCTGAGCGTGCAGGTGGCAGGAGCCCGTTGCCACACAACGATGGCCGACCCAGAGGGGTTGGGCTGGGCTGGGTCCCCGCAGGCCCTCCCTGTCCACGCCC